AATAAATAAATAAATAGGGCTGGAGAGATGGTTCAACAGTTAAGAGCACGGACTACTCTTCCAGAGGTCCTGAGTTCAATTCCCAGCACCCACATGGTGGCTCACAACCATCTGTAATGAGATTTGGCGCCCTCTTCTGTATACATAATAAATAAATAAATCTTTTAAAAAAAAGTATCTTTTAAAAAATAAATAAATAAATAAATAAATAAAAATAATAAAATAAAAAATAAAAACCTGAATGGTCAATAGCCAGGCAGGATTTTTGGGGCATGGAGGATGCTGGGAAGAAGAGTAGGGATACAGAGAGTCACCAGCCAGACACATGGACAATACAAAGTAAAGGTAGACATGTCATGTAAAAGAACATAAATGAAAAGAAATGGGTTAATTTAAATTATAAGAGCTAGTTAGAAACAAGCGTAAGCTATGGACTGAGCTTTCATAATTAATAAGAAGTCTCTGTGTGGTTATTTGGGAGATGCCTGGCAGGACAGAAGAATCCACCCACAATCCTGAGCTACACAGTAAGAAAAAAGGAATGCTAGAGGTCACCCTTTCCTTTGAAGGAGCTTCTGTGATTCATGGGTCTCAGCATAAAGCAGTATATGGTTGAGGGAGAGCACAGAAGGCTAGAGGAGACCATTGGCTTCAACTAGCAAGAGAAAACTGAAGCAGTCCTTAAAGCGTAGGCTGGAGCATGTTACAGGCCGAATGCACACTGGGAGACGAAGGAAGGGCCGGCAAGATGGCTCGGTGGAAAAAGGTGTCGCCGCCAATGTTGAAAACCTGAGTTCAATCCCCAGGGTCCACACGGTGGGAGGAGAGAACCAAGTTGGTCTCTAACCTCCACAGGCACATCATGGTGCCTGCACACACACACACACACACACACACACACACACACACACACACACACAATTAGAGAAATATTCAGGAAATAGTAAAAGTGAAATGAGTCAGAGGGATAGAGGACACTGGGAGAACATGGCCCACAGAATCAACAAAGCAGGGCTCATAGGGGCTCACAGACTGAAGCGCCAACCACAGAGCTAGGTCCTCGGTGTATATGTTATACCACAGAGCCTGCATGGGTCTGCGCTAGGTCCTCTGTGTATATGTTATGGTTGTTAGCATGGTGGTGGTTTTGTGGAACTCCTAACAGTGGGAGTGGGGATGTCTGACTCTTCTGCCTGCTCATGGGACCCTTTTCCTCCGGGATTGCCTTGCCCAGACTTGATAGCAAGGTTTGTGTCTAGTCTTACTGCATCTTGTTATGCCATGTTCAGTGGATATCCCTGCGAGGGCTACTATTTTCTGAAGGGCAAGAGAGGAGAAGTGGATCTGGAAGAGAGGGGGAGGAAACTATGGTTAGGATATATCATATGAGAAGAGAGAAATATAAGAAAAAAGAAAAAGAAAAGCCAGGTGTAGTGGCACACACAGAGGCAGGTGGATCTCTTGAGTTTGAAGCCAGCCTCATTTACAGAGCAAGATCCAGGACAGCCAAAGCTACACAGAGAAACCCTGTCTTCAAAAACAAAACAAAACAAACAAAATTAATTAATTAATTAATGTAGTATAGATCCAGATGTGGTGGTACATACCTGCCTTGTCAACCTAGCAAGTTTGGGACAGCTTGAACTGATGAGAACCTGTCTCCAATTTTTTTTTTTTTTTTCAAAATCAGGAGGCAGAAACAGGCAGATCTCTGAATTTGAGACCAGCCTGGTCTATATAGGGAGTTACAGGGAAGGATACTATTTGTTGTTGTGTTGGTTTCTCTGTGTAGTCCTGACTGTCCTAGAACTCGCTCTGTAGACCAGGCTGGTCTTGAACTCAGAGAACCGTCCACCTCTGCCTCCTGAGTGTTGAGATTAAAGGCGTACGCCACAACTGCCCAGTGAAGGATGGTGTTTTTAAAGACCTTGAAAACGATGAGTGCTGAGACCCCTTCACTACTTTGCTGTGTGTTTCAGTGTTTGAAGTGAAAGGACCTGTAAGATTCTTCAGTGGGGAGTGACTTCATCTAAGTAATGTTCTTCATTTTCCTTCTTGAGTTCAGATCAATTCCTATAGCCCAAGCTACTCTGGCATTGCTGTATAGCCCTGGCTGGCCTCAAAACCACTGCATTCCTCCTGTCCGAGCATCCCACGTGCTGGGATTATAGATGTTCATCACCAAGCCTGCTTCCAAGCAATATTTAAAATCACATATACAGCCCACCGGCGGTGGTGGAGCACAACTTTAATCCCAGCACTCGGGAGTCAGAGGCAGGCAGATCTCTGTGAGTTCGAGGCCAGCCTGGTCTACAGAGCGAGTTCTAGCACAGGCTTGAAAGCTACACAGAAACCCTGTCTCAAACAAAAACAAAAACATTTATTTTTCAACAAATGTGTGATGGGGGTTGAGGGAGGTGCATGTCACAGTGTACAGGTGGAGATCAGAGGACAACCTGTGGGAGTCAGTTCTCCCCCCC